ACTAGCCTAGCTTATTTAATTTTCATATAGGCTAATTTGGATAGGCTACTTGAGTCATCAACAAAGTGTGCCACGTTACGTTATTGTGCCAGTTAAATTGATAGCGTTTGATTTTTATTTGAAGAATGTGTATTACTTTTTTTCTGAAATTGAGTTTAATTTTACGCACACACACTGCACATGCACCTGTTTCTCATCCAGTTCCCTACTTTCCCTTTCAGGTCGGGACGGGATGACTCTATTTGGACAGAGATCTACTCCAAAGAAGCGTAGGAAATCCCGGACTGCATTCACCAACCATCAGATCTATGAGCTCGAAAAGCGATTTTTGTATCAGAAGTACCTATCCCCGGCAGATCGGGACCAGATCGCGCAGCAACTTGGCCTGACGAATGCGCAGGTGATCACGTGGTTTCAGAACCGCCGAGCAAAGCTAAAGCGAGACCTGGAGGAGATGAAGGCTGACGTGGAGTCCGCTAAAGCTATCGGCCAGGTTCCATTGGACAAGCTAGCTAAGCTGGCAGACTTGGAAAAATGCGCCAACGGAACGTTAGGCCACCCGCGCGCCGAGTCCCCCATGCGGGGCCAGCAGGAGCTCGAGCTCGCACAGAAACTGCGGACGTCGCCGCTGTCGCCCTTCTCAGACCACACAACAAGTAAAGAGTGCTCAGAGGACGAGGACGTAGAGATTGATGTAGACGACTGATGGCGCAGCATGGCGCTGGACACAGAGACGGTGTGAACAAATCCTGCCGAGGACTTGTAACTTACTGCTTATATTCTACCATATCTCCGACGTGTACCAAAATGTATTGACTTTTATTGTCACATAGACCTATTCATAGTGACGCATGAACAGAGCAGAGCAAGAAATATGCAGTGGTCTTTTACAATGTATCTGTTAGCCAATCAAAGCAATATGATCCGAGTAACTTATTTTTATTTTTATACATTATGTGTCCCTCACACGCAGCTCACACACCTGCCCGCGTCTGCACGGGCCTCTGCGCGCCGCCTTTAGTGCTCAGTTTGTTTTGTTGGCATGTGAATGCATGATTTGCTTTGTGCTCCTTATATATTTATTTCATTAATTTAAGCTTTGTTTGAGTCTTGGCTTGGACTTCCCATTCCTTCTGTTCACCTGTCTCAAATACGAAAACATTTTGTATGAGCGAAAGGAAATTTTCCATTTACATTAAGGCTATCATTATTTGATCAAGACTGTTCTTTATTGTTTCATGGAGGCTCAAAACGAGAGGAATCGCTGAAAACATTTTTTTTTTTTTTTTTCATTTATACTTTTTTTTTTTTTTCTCAGAATAGTAAACGCCAGTTCGAAATTTTATTTGTTTTGTACACCTGTAAGTGCCTTTCTAAAATCAGGACATTATTTGAAAACCAATGCACAGACTGTAATGTATATAGGCTATGGGAATAAAATGGATTTTCTCAATATTTCTTTTATGATGCTTTCTTGATTTAATTTTTGTCAAAGTCTGCGCTTTGTGCCAAACGTTGCTGCGTTGGCAGATAAAGGAGCCCCGTTTATGTGCTATACTGCCTTTGTGTCCTCTTTATGCAGGGATGCTCTAAACATTTAGTTGCCTGGAATCTCACTCGGCCTTTCACGACCAACATGCGTATCGTGCCTTATTGACCCTTAGATGTGTTTCCCATTCGTGGTAAAAATTTATGTGAGAAACACAAATCTGGTCCCGGGGAAAAAGAGGAGGATGGCACAAAAAACACAAAGTTTTGGGCCAGTTTTTCCCTGCCTTTATTGAGCTTTTTTGTTCTGTGGGACCGAGCCGTAATTTTGAGCGTAAAGCATGAAAAGTGGGGACAAATGAGCAGCGTTCCCTGATGGGACGCGCCACAAAGGAGCAGGGCCGCTCCCCCGCAGGCAGCAATACTGAGACAAGTGTGTCCCACCGCACAAAAAGGACGCAAACGTTTGGAAGCCATATGGTTTTTGAAATTTCCTCACAATTTCAGACAATTTGATGGATTGAGTTAACCCTCCTTTTAAACAGTTTAACTGAGTGCGAACAAAGGCCATAATGCCTACATAGACTCTCCCCTCATGAGGGCATCTGCGGCTATTAATGTCTAGCCCCTTTCTTTGCCTGGCGTTTTGAACAAGTCAATGAATTACAATGAAACTGCCCCCTTTTTGTGCGCAGCTTTTTAGTTCTAGAATAATATGTTTGACTTCTATCCAAGAAGGGCTTCCAAACAAGAAATGGATTTTGTTGCGAGCGTTTTTAATGTTAAGCAGGGAGCCATAAAGAGTTTGGACGGTGACATTTTGCCAAAGCCTGGTTAGAAGCCCCTTTGTTTGTTTTCTTCTCTTCTGCGTCTTTATATCTTTTGTTTTTGAGGAGTTTAATGAAGCTGAAAACATGGCCAAGGAGCTCAAAGGCGTTTAACGCTCTTTGTTCCAAGAAATGATAAGTGGCCTGTCTGCTTCTGACTTGTTTTATAGTGTGCGCTTTTTCAGTATGACAGAAATTCAAGTTCTTTGGGCTCTGATCCAAATTCACATACGCCTATTCAAACAAAAATAAAATATAGAAAAAATATTTGGACAGTATGTTTTTCAAGAATTTGCTATATGTGTGGTATAAAATCTGTAGTGCTTTGAGAACGAATCCAGAAATTGTTTTTGGTCACCGACACCTTAACATGTAATTACTAATCCAATTGCGCATCGGAAACGTAGATTTTACGCATGGTGCCCTCTTGGACCAAGTGGAAAAGCAACTTCTTCTGGACTGATTAAAATGTTTAACGGGTTGTCTTGGAGTACATTTGAATCTCATGACCATGCAGTGTGTGTGTAATGTGACTCTGGCCCTGGATCTATGTTGCTGGTTCATGATCTGCGCACTTTATGGATCCAGTGGCTTCTTTATGAGGCCTTGTCAGGGTGTGCTCATATAATCCCGGAGTCTGAGGGACCACTTGGTGGTAATTAATCTGAAGGTCTTAAGTGTATTTCACTATTTCACTCCAAGATGGAAAAAATCACTACCTCAATCGTCCGGAAAATTGAAGTTTGATGCATGAGTCCCTACTGAAACAATTGGTGCAGCTTGCGCAAATGGCCCCTCCCTTTTTACCTTTTTACCTCTCCTCCACCCCTCCCACGTGCCTGCATTTGTTTGTGTTGGGAAAAGTGCATTATACCCTAAAAGGCTAACCCAAAAAGTCTTACCACAGCATAATAATAATAATAATAATAATAATAATAATAATAATAATAATAATAATAATAATAATAATAATAATTAGTAAATTGTTTAAAATTGCTTCGAGGCAAATCACTCTGTAGATCTAAATAGAGCGAATTGTGGAGTTTTAATCATAGCCTTCCTGTGGAGCCAGTTAATACTTCAAACTTCAATTTTACGGGCGATTGAACTAAGCATGTTCCTGACAGAATTGATGTATGTATTAATTTCCTTTAACTGTTGATTAATTAGGCTGTGCTGAAGGCTCGAATGGCACCGTTTGTTCGTGAATTTGCATATTAATCCAATTCAAATTGATCATTCAAATAATCTATAGGCTCTGTGATGATTTGAGAAACTGCATAGGCTATGACATTGGAGAATGAGCGCGCAATATGATCAGCCCAAAGCAAGTCAGCAGCTGCGTGTTACTGTTAGCCTAATATTTTGAAACTATGAACCTCTGCCTCTTTGATCCATTCAGTCAAAAGGAGAAGTATTGAGCTTATAATAATAATATTAATAATATTAATAATGATGATGATATTATTATTATTATTATTATTATTATTACTACAACAACAACAATAATAATAATAATAATTATTATTATTATTATTGTTTCTTTTTTGCAACATCAATTTTTGAAGAGTGTCACCATCCTCTGCAAATTTAAGCAAAGACCTTGCTGAAGTACTAAAAATGAAAAACTCAGAGAAATTACTAATACCACTTCAAATACAGACATAAGCAGATGTTACCCATTTTAAACAACTCATTTGTTGTTTACCATTTAATAAAAACATAAAAGCACACATTAGATTTTTATTAGGCTGTATTACAAATAATGTAATTCCCGTGTGACGTAACTTGTCAAACATAGCCTATAGCCCTACATTATGTCTGAAATAGATTTAAATAAATAAATGATATAATAACAAAGAAATCAAATAATGCTTCCTATAGTTTTATAAGTTAAATTAGGCGTAAAGACTGTTGCATTATACTGTCAAGACAGATGTGCTTGTTTTCATTTTTTTTTCATTGATACTGATAGTCTTTATTGAGGTCCTCACAAAATCACACATTCAATTTTAATAAATTACCTCAAACTCATGAAAAGGCTTCTTTTGTTTGAAAACCAGAAATGAGCACAACTGAGACACCTGCTGGTGTTTTAAGGCTACTGCTGTAATCGAGTTTTGCCATTGCTTTAGCACAGATGAAAGAGTGTAAAAACGCACATTTATACAGTGCAAAAATATTGAACTGTGTTGGAGTGTCCTAAAGCATTATATTTGTCTGTAGCATGGCAGATTTAAGTTATTTAATTTATGCATTCTGTTCCCATGAAATTATGCTCAACGAGACTTAGGCTAAGTGTTTCAATGTTTGTTTTTCTTTTGTGTGTGTTTTCTTTTTGGGGACACGTCTTCCTCTGGTTTGGGAACGATCCGCTCCTTCTCATTGCGGATTCATCTCATCTGATCATCTGGCAGTCAGAGCTCATGTAGGTGCATCTCCTCATTTTAGAGGCCTCATTGACTTGAATGTGTCCAACGACCAAATAATCCACATTTAGAACCTTGAGTTTAGCATTGCTCTCGGCGTTTTTGAGCATGTGGAATAAAAACTGCACTTGTTCGGTCAATAAACTGCTTAGCGCGAGTCATGTGGGCTGAGCACATCTTCCTACACCACCACTGTAGCGGCGGAATGGGACATTTATCTGTGCAGTCTCCGAACGGCACAGACTGATGCTTAACAGCACATCACAAACATATTTGTTAGCCTTGTGGATGCGAGTTTTTAAAATTAACTCGCAGATTGGACCCTGTCGCCTTGCAAGACTTTCTTGGGTTCTGAGGGTCAAATGAGCAGCAGACCATTTTCAGAATAAAAACTTTTTTATCCACTGCTGAAACTCCAAGCCGTCGCGTATGTGACGTCATCAATGTTGGCGGTAGTTTGAAAAGAACGCGCTTGTTTTCGTTCACCAAAAACATGGTAAGTGTACAATTATTCATACTCTTCTAGTTAGAATCAATGCTACTGTTGCAACTACACACAACTGCACCTTCTATAAATACTGTGTTTATCTATTGATTTATTGATCTAATTATAAACATGAAAAACTCGCATGATTTCTTTACAATACATCTCCAAACACGGTTACAGAATTCTGCTAACTTGAAATTTGCATTAGCCCTTCTTCAAAGGATGTTGATTCCGAAACTGCATATAAAACGTTTAAAACTTTAACCCTTAGTTGACTATTTGTGTTTTTAGACGGAGATGATGTGTGCCACACAGACTACAGTGCTATCAGAAACTGCTCGTGGCGAGCTGTTGAACCAGTGTGAAGAACAGTTTACTCAGCTGGAAAAGGTTGTGTTCAATTATAAGGTTGGAATTTTAATTTGAGGTCAAAGCACAACATTGTATATCCAGTTAATATCCTTCTATCACAGTTTGTTTCATTTTGACCAAGAAATGCCATTTCCATTATGCCCTCTCTAATTTAAACTGAGTTGTGAAAAGTACCGAAAGAGTAGAATAATTGAGTACAGTTTGTCTCCTGAATGACCCTCAAAAACACAACTATCATCTTAAAACATTACAATAAATAAATTAATAATTCAGAGAAGGAAGAGTCTTTTTGTCTCTGTCACATGTCTCGTATGATAGAATAGTATAAAGAGCCTGTCTGCAATCTTCTTAAACCTTTAGGTGATAAAACAGAGAGTGGACAGTCTGGGGATAAAGCAACAAGTAGCAGTGACAATATTTAAGTAAATTAGGACTAAATGATCACTCCAAAATGTTATGTAAAGAAATCCCAAAGAAGCTTTGGCTATAAACAGTCTCTGTTGCAGCTCCAGAATGAGATTATACTGAGTGAACAAGACTGTGGCGAGAACCCACAAGATCAGGTGAGAGAGACCTTTTGATTTCTAATTCTTAAAACTTTTTTTTACAGTTTGTAATTTGTAGCTTTTTTATTTTTCCTTATTAGTCTGTTCATAGACTGATGGCAACAGAAGCTGAACTCAAGCAGTGGGCCTCAATGGAGCCAAATCGTAAGTGCTTTTATTCACTTAAAAACAAAATATATCTCTACTGTAATAACACCAGTTACATAAATACAACAATTTGTAGTCTGTTATCCAATTTTGTGTCTACTACTACTACTGTTACTACTACTACTAATAATAATAATAATATTTCCTTAATTTTTCCTGCACAGTTCTTTCTGAAAATTCTGAGATTCTTCTCCAGGCTGGGAAAGAAGAGGTTAAATAAGAAAATGCATATTAAAATGCATTATAGAGCTGTTACTCATGCTGTATATTTTTTTTCTTCAGATGATCAAGCTATGTTCACAACTTGAGATGATTGTTCTTTGCTATGAAGCAAAGAGAGACAAATTAAAAGAAACTAAAGAGCTGTATGTAATAGATGTCTTGTGGAAGCTGATGTTGCAGCTTCTCTGAATGTATAACACATAATATATTCCTGCATTTACAGAGAGCAAAAGTGGCTTGAGGAGAAGAAACAAATGTTGGAAGCTGCTGCAGAACATGTTGAGCGGCTTCAAATAGAGAGAGAGAAATTATCTGAGCACAGGTGAGAACATCATTATAACAAAAGCATACATTTGTGCTTTGTTTTGTAATGTGTGTGTATTTTTTCATTCACTTAGTATCTTTAAAGACACTAAAGATAAAATTCAGAAGATGAAGTTGTATCAGGAAAGATTAATGGAGTCACTGGGTGAAATTCTTGAGAAACATGTTCCTCCTCCTCAGAATGAGAACAAGACAAAGAAGGTTGTTTCACAGTACAATTTTTGACTCTTTAAAACAAGTACAATGATTAAGAACCCCTGTTTTACCTTTCAGCATTCTGCACAGGATGGTGACATGGAGTTCATTTCACTCAATGAAATTCTAGAGGTAATACTTCCAAATTGCAAGTTTAGTTTGTTCTTAGACATTTTTAGTTCTCACTTGTTGGATGTAACCTACTATGTAGACCATGTTGTTACTGTGGAAGATGCAATGTGTAACTTCTGGTGGTGGGTCCACAACTTTTTTGTCTCATGCAGATGTTATTGTTCCACAGTATGGCATTAAAGTCCTCTATCTCTTGCATTGATTCAATTACATGTGTTTTTAATGCTCAGAAATACTTTGAAAAACATGCATCTTTACTGTGATTGGGTTCCCTCTCCACAAATCTGACCTGTAACGTGGCCCGGTGATATCACATATTTGTCTTTATGGAGTTGCATAAATTTAATACCATACTGTGAAACTTCTTGATGAAGACAAGCAGACAGTGAACCATCCACTGGACAACTTACACAGTGCACCTTTAAAATACTACTGTATGTATGTTTTCTGTTATATACTTACAGCTTCTCATGAACAAAGTTCTGACAACACCACATGATCCTTATGTGGACATTGATGCAACATTTTGGCCTCCGTATGTTGAGATGCTCCTTCGGTATGGCATTGCAATAAGGCACCAGGAAAATAACTTCAAGATTCGCCTGGAGCCCTTTTGCTGAGATTTTTTGTCATCTTTTGTAAATTCTGTAATAATTATACAATAATATTTTGATTTGTCATTGATGATTTCCCTGTCTTCAATGCACACAATTAAAAAGTATATGTTTTGTTTTTAATTTTCGCAATCGCTAAAGGTGAAATAAACTACATAATTACATGCTGATGGTTTGAATGTATTTATAAAATGATCAAAAATATTAGAAGGTTTCATTAGACGACGTCATGGACGTCTTCCAATCACACGCGTCGCTGCGTCAGTAGAGTTCCCGTAGGCGGATAGGGAATTCCGGTTCCGGGTTTTTTCACGTCGCACTCGGAGACGTCCATTCCCTTGATTATGTTATTTTATTTAACATTGGCCTTGATAGACCACAGATTGTTATAGATATATTTCCACTAAAGAAACGTCGTTTAAGGCCCAAACATGACTACCCGCTCGGAAAGAGAGAAAGCTCAGAAACTTAACGAGCAACACCAGGCCATCCTGTCCAAAATGCTGAGAGAGGAAGACAACAAGTACTGCGCCGACTGCGAGGCAAAAGGTGCGGTATTCTCAATAGTGTTCGTGCCAGACTTAAGCATATAAAATCCCAGATGTAATCTCAAATTTACCGCTAAGCTAATTGCTGTGTGTAGCATCTATGAGTGTTAGCGACGCTAAGCTAACTCCGTTGTCTGTAGTGGCCCCTGCAAGTCAGCTGACACTTCTATCCTTCGAGCTAAACTTAAGTGGCTAACAAGTGAGCTAACTTTCCTAAATGTACTAATGCGAAGCTACCTGAAATGCCTCCATCAAATAGTTCTCACGATTCTCAAACAGGCATCGTATTTCACCACAAAGAAAGGTTTACTCAGCTAAGGGCATAGGTCAAGTAATAGCCTCATGTAGCATTAACAGTCTTGATATTATCAACTACACAGACCGCCAGTTTCATTCTTTTGTAGACTTTTAAAACCTTTGCTGACTGCTTTTAGATTAATAACTCAATAACATCACACGTTTAATATCCGTATCTGTTGTACTACTGCTAAATTGTACTAGGACAACTGAATGTTGGAGTGAAGATTAAGTTGCCAAATTTTAACAATTAAACACCAACGGCATATGTAGCAACTGAACGGTCCTGGTTTGAGCTATTTGTATATATCTTGTGACGCTTTCAGGTCCAAGATGGGCTTCATGGAACTTGGGAGTGTTCATCTGCATAAGGTGTGCTGGAATCCACAGGAACCTGGGAGTGCACATATCCAGAGTCAAATCTGTCAATTTGGACCAATGGACATCAGAACAAATCCAGGTAATTAAGTATCCAGGTTACTGCTGCTGGCTGTGAATGACATTCCCTTAACTTTGTATTGTATTTGAAATGTTTATTTGTATTATTCAACCTGGTTTAATAAGGGCACTATAACTTTTCTGGTGGAGGGTCCGCCACCTGCTTGTATCCATGGAGCTGTTATTGCTTTGAATATAATGATAATCTGGTGATAGTTGTGAACAGGTGAGCCCTCTCACAGTAAGAATGCATGCTTTTAATTTGCATTAAAAACACATACCCCCCCCAGAAAAGTTATACAATGCATCTTTAAATGTATGTAATTGTCCTTTATTATCCATTTCATTTTAATGTTTTTGTTACTTTACATTCTTAGAGTATACAAGATATGGGTAACACCAAGGCCAGACAACTTTATGAAGCCAACCTTCCAGAAAACTTCAGAAGACCTCAAACAGACCAGTATCCTTCTCAACAAGAAAGTCTTAAGTTCATGTGCTGTCATTGACAGAGCTGCATCTAATATACAGGGCAACTTTAGTCTTGCTCTGTTTAAGTTTAAGTCCAAACAACAACTGTTTGCTCAGTGCATCACCCTCTCTGCCCACTTTCCTTTAAATAATCATTGGATTTATTTAGCGCCTTTCAAGACTTACAGTGCATTATTCATTCACTCCACACTTGGTGATGATAAGCTACTACGGAAGCCACAGGTGCCCTGGGACAGACTGACAAATGCAAGGCTGCCAGTCTATGCCATTGGCCCTTCCAGCCACCACCAACACTAACGTGCACACAACACTCCATAATCTGTCCTCTGTCTGTCACATCATATAAAGCCTGAAACATGTTAAAAAAAAAAAAAAAAACTTTAAAAAGTAAATTGTGAATAAATCCTGTCTTGTTGATGTACTTATATTTACTTAACTGTGACTTCAGAGCGGTGGAATTTTTTATCAGGGATAAATATGAAAAGAAAAAATACTATGGAAAGAATGTGACCAATGGGAGCAGTGTAAGTTCTTAACTAGTAATTTAACTTGATGCATCACTTGCATTGATTCTTCTGATGTTTTATTCAGCCAAAGGACAATAAGAGAGAAAAAGAGACAGACCGAGCAAAAATATCATCTAGCATTAAGGTACTTATGTTGCTGTTGTTTATGTATGTTTCTCATATATGATTTACTAACACAGAATTGCTGGATTTCTAGAGTGAAGAACCTAAGCCAGTTTCAGTCAGCCCTGTGAAGCCTGCAGAGCCTTCTGTGAATTTACTAGGCCTTGGTGAGTTGTACATAGGTAATATTTTGGATTTCTTGTTTGACTTCAGTGAGCACACAGCTGGCGTTTTTACATACAATATAACTAAACGGACACAATGTAACACCCAGCTTCAGACTTTGTGCAATAGTTTTTTGTTTTTTTACGCACTGATGCTGATTTCACTTCCTCTTTTTATTGACCCTTGATCTAATCTTCTCATAGCATTGCACTCCTATATTTACTGCATATTTAAACTTGACTTGAAGGCCCAAATAAACTTGTAGCTTAGATATATATACTCCAAAATAGGGGGAAAAATGGTCTAGGTATTTCAAGTGATAACTGAGACTGAATGTTCATTTGGACTAATGTGTAAAGTTAGTGTCTGGAAAAAAATGACTCTTAAATCACTGATCTTTTATGTGTAACTGTTCATTAGATACTCTAATACTAATTCCTTTTGTGAAACTGGTATAAATGGTGAAGGCTGTTCTGTCTTTTGTATGTTTAGTGCTGTTATTTGACCTCAGTAAAACCAGTTTATCTCCTTATCCTTTCCCAGACACACCAGCATCTTCATCATCTAACAATGGTAGCTCGAGCACAACCCAGAACAATGACCTGGATATTTTTGGCCCCATGGTCTCCAACCCCCTCCCTGCATCCACATCGGCGCCTCAGTTTCCTCAGGTACAACTAAGCAGCATCTTTTTAACCTTTATATATATTGTGCCTTTTTGTCTGGCAATAAACTATCACATATGTAAATCATAATGTTAAATCTTGTTTATTTGAAACCATAATATTGAGCTAAAACAACTTGATAATGGAAACTACCAAACTGATTCTCTGCAGCTTGCACAACCTCTTGAAACCATAAACTGGGTAAAAGTTTGTCTCCGCAAATTAAGTGAAATGCAACTGTTCCCTTATTCCGTCTCTGCAATATTCTGTTCATGTCAAAACAAACATGGTTGCTTACATATGAAAAAGAAAAAAAAAATAACGCAGTGGACTTTGAAACCGTGCGAAGCACCAAACTGCTACTTGCTGGTCAGGCAAACTATTCCCAGTCAGATCAGAACAATCAGTCAATCAATCAAACTTTATTTATAAAGCGCATTTCATACAAAAATGTACCACAACGTGCTTTACAGTGATTAAAAACAATCCCACATTACCATCCACCCCCACACCTGCCCAACCCCACATAGCAAACAACCCAGACATACACACACGCGCAAAGATGCACACACACTCACACACACACTAACATGCTAAAATACATAAAACCGCACATAGTAAAAAGGTGAGGCTGAATACAGGCGAACCAGTTGAGAAAGCACTATCAGAGGAGCCGTCTACAGCAGGAGCAGAGAGATGTCCACCACCACCAAGAACTGCCACAGGGCACAGGGGAGAGATGAGGCCCAAGCACCAACCCTCCACCAGAAGCCCACAGGACAGACCCCAGCAGCCACAGCCCACCTCTGCTCCTGATGCAGAGGGCTCCTACAGACGATACACTGGAAATCCTAAAAAATATGCCTAAAATAAATATTAATAAAATGAATACAATAGAAACAAGTAAAAGTATAAGATTTCATTCAAAAGCTAAGATAAAAAGGTGGGTCTTGAGCCTACTCTTGGTCCTCCAGATGATCTGGAGGATCAAAAGGCCTTAACATTGCTGTGAAAAAGTGAAGCCTAATTATTTTGCCATCTCAGTTACAAGGTTCACCTTGATGTGCATAATGTGTTATGTGTGTATAATACTGTAGCTACAAAACAGATTCACAACATTCAATATATTTTAAGGCCTGTATGATTTTTTTCAGGTGAGCTCCAGTAATGTTGCCAGTACCCCAACACAACCTCCAGCTGTAGCAGGAGGGGGTTCAGCATCAGCCTCTGCCCAGAGCGATCTCGACTTGTTCAGTGACAGCAGCAGTGCAGCTAAATCAGATGATGCAACCAAAAAGCCCTTGTCAAAGGACTCGATCCTGTCTCTGTATGGCACCAATAGCATGCCCCAACAGGCTCCTGCAGGTAACTGGATTGTTTTGATCATGTAATCCAACACTAGTTTCATGTTCACATGTTCCCCAGGCAAGAAAGATGACAGAAATAAAACTAAATCAAAAAGATGTTCAGAATAAAACTTATATAAACAAGAAATCTCCCCATGTCTATCTCTACCATGTACTGGTATGCAACATTTACATTACTTTGGATACATGTACTACAAAAATAGAGGAAGTAGTTATGTTCAGAAAGTCTATAAGGTGGTGTAAACTGAAAGCATGTACTTGTGTCAGTTATATAACACAAACCTCAGAAGCACATGTTTGGCTGATCTATCCTCATACAAACAGAAACCCTAATCCTTATGCATTCATATGCTGTTAACTATCGCATTCTCATATCCACAATGTTCCTTTTGTAGCTGGCATGTTCATGGGTCCATCCCAGATGCAGTTTCCAGTCCAGGCTGCAGCTGGTTACCAGGCCTTCCCTGGAATGGCAGGAGCCATGCCTCCCACCACAGTCATGGGAGCCATGATGGCTCAGAGTGGGGCAGCCATGATGGGATCCAATCCAGGCATGATGGTTGGCATGACAATGCCCAATGGCTTTATGGGAAATGCTCCTGCCGCTGGAGTTATGGGCATGGCCCCCAGAATGATGGGACCTCAGGGGGGAGCTATGCCTGCAGGCATGGTGCCAGCTCAGGGCATGTATGCCCTCCAGCCGGGACAGCAGCCTCAGTGGAACATGGGACAGGTACAGCTCTCCATTAATCACACTCTTTAGCCCTGTGACTCAACACTGTTTGAAGTGTGGTTTATTAACTTAGTGCATTTACACACACACACTGTGCAATATGTGCCAAAGGACACCACAAATATTTGATAAGTCATGATGGGCAACAAACAATTATGCACATTGCTCTCTTTTATGAATATTACAGGTTATTCTTAAAAATGAAATTAATTTGAATATACATTTGCTTTCCATAAGAATTTCAAATGTGATAAAGGCAAGATTACTGAAATTTTCATTTGAAGCATATAGTAATATTCTGTTTAGAAAAAGTATTAATAAGTGTTAATAAATGGCTGTGATCAGAAGAGATGTGTACTCGGTCGTGTTTGTGACAGCAACATTGTGTGTGCATTTCCCAGATGAACCAGCAGATGTCAGGATTGTCCCTGAATGGGGCGGGTGCTCAAATGGCCTTTGGTCAGCCTCAGACTGCAATGGGAGGCTGGGCTGCTGCTGGATCAGGCCAGACTCTGAGCACACAGCTGTGGAAATGAGCCTTTGGGTCCAGGGCAGTACAGGTAGAGGCTGCAGACATGGGAGAATAGAGCTGCTCTACACCTCACTATGAACTGTGGTCTGTTTACAACAAGGACCTGCCTTTAAACATGACAATTGTATCTCTCTCTTTCCCTTTTCTCTGTCTCTCTTTCTCTCTATTGTGTGAGTGAATTGGGAGTCATACAGGAGTATAGCCTGGCAGTTTCTGCCTGTCATATGGTTTTTGATCATAACTTTTATTTTCCTTTTTTGGAAAAATTACAAGGAAACAACAGTCCCAACAAATATGATATTGACATATCAGAAAAGCTGCAGGACCAGTTACACAAGCTTTTATTGTATCACTGTATCATTATAAGATTATAGAACATTTAAATGAATAGTATTTAATGGGAGAGTAAGGACTTTTAGTCTGTCAGTGTAGCTCCCAAATGTACAGCGCTGTATAACCTTCTTTTAAAGTACTTGTGGTTCCTCTTAAAAAAAAATAAAGTCATAATAAATAATTTGCTTTACGTGTCTTCTGTGTATCCTTGGTGATTATCATAAAAAATTATTATTTCTTTGTGGTGACAAAAAGCCAGGTGGATGAAACTATAGAAGTGCGTTAATGCTCTTGACTACAAGAGGGCACTAGTGAGCTGATAATGTTCAAATCAGAGTGGGAAGTGTAAAAATATGTTGCATTTACTCAGAGCCTGAACTGGGTAGTATGTGGAGCCATTTACTTGTATTTTTCAGGTCCTTGTGGCTTTATGAAAGTGTAACAATGTCTACTTTTCTTTCATTAAAACAAATTAAAAATGGAACTGGGTCTACTTGAGCACAGATTTTTAAGAACACACGCATTTCTTCATTGGGTGAGGTGCAGCACTATTTGAATTCAGTTTTTAAGAGAGCGCTATATTTTCACTAGGGGGTAGTGTTTTGTTACCTGAGAAATTTCACCACATGCTCTTCAGCCCCTGCACTGGCTGATTAGTTATTGCTGGATTATTCTGTTGCTGGATACATTACATCTGCTTTCACTATATCGGTGCTGTAGAGGTCTTGAGGCACTGATCTGGGGGGTATCTGGGAGTTTGGGTGATCCTGTATTTAATCTGTCTTTGTAACTGGAAACATAATATTCCAGTGAAATGAGTTCAAATGGCACAGATTGCATTTTAAAGTTGACAAAAGTAAATTTCACTGGTTTCCAGATCTTTTGCATGGTTATTGTGTGTTTGTTTGTGTGTGTGTGCGTGTGTGTGTGTGGGGGGGGAACTTGTGCACTTAATTTATAACTGTACTGTTAGAATTCCATTAAATCTCTAAAGACTGTTTTTAGAAGCACAGTTGTTCTTACATTATGGTCTCTTTCTAAGTGTTTTATTTTCAAAATGTATGTCAGTTGTGCACAAACTGATGATAGTTTTGTGTCTGAAAGAGTTACTGTTTATCTTAGAAATTTCTAGAACATTTTCCTATCTTTGTACACTGTCTTAATATGTACACCCAGCCCATGAGAATGAAAGAAAAATTATTACTAAAAATCCCAGTCATCACAGAAAAATGTGACAAGCTCATCCCTGTCTCTTTGTCATTATTGTACTGATTGATGATAGTTTATGTTCGGTTTAGAGTGACTCTAATCTGTTTTAATCGGTGTAAGCCATGCACACGGGTTGCTCTGGGTGTGGTGTTTCTAACCAGCCCTACCTGCTACATTCCCAGCCTGCCACACCCTGCCTCTGTACCATATTAAAACAGTTGCACAACAGCTCAAGGCTGTGACTAGTAGAACTGTATCATATAAGAAAGTTGTGCAAAATGCAGTTTTGTTGACTTTTAAGGCCATTTGGTGAGGTTCTACAAACATTATAGTTTTATAGTCTTGTTCTGGTTGACATTTCATTTGAAGTTTTACACTGCTGCTTAGTCTTGATTTATATGCACAGATGAGTTTAGTCCTGGTTTTACCATATATAATCTTCTAGTAGTTTCTTGTCCTGCAGTTGCTAACACTTATACCTATATATTATACCTATATATTTCCTACAACATTACAATAGTAAGAAGTGACTGATTACTTTTGTACACAGGAAAACTACTGTATTTGACCACTCATTTCTTCCATGCCTGGCAGAAGCTGAAAAGCCCTTTAAGTGTACCGTGTACTTGGTTGTGCTCCACTTTGTGCCTCTCATTTGTTCCTATGCGCAGTTCCTGCTCCATAAACTTTCACAGTCAGGTCTTATACCACTGGTTTTTAGCAGAGAGACTCTGCATTCCTCTCAGCATGTTTGTGAAAACCTGACACAGACCAAGAACAAAGTGAAGAATGCCCCTTCTATCTCTCTCCACATTGGCCCCTTATGGACTTTGTGACCTTGGAACATCACATTCCCGCTGATATAGACAACAGGCCTGTCCATATAACTCATTCTTTTAAATGACAGTGTTAGATAAAGTTTGCTCTGACGAACAGCTGGGAAACTTTTAATTAACCTCTTACAAGAAAGAAGCATTGCATAAAGTACAAATATTTTAAATAATCTTTGTATGAAAATACATTTCAAAACAACATTTCCAAGTGATTGAATACTCAAATTATGAATGATGTTTATAATTAATTTAATGGCTTTCTGAATAGATTTTGGTAAAGTTTTACAATTGAAAAATTTAAAACAGCATGAGTTTAACTGGAAAACCAGCCATTATCTGCCTGATATGCAAACCTATACCTTCCTTTCAAAACCTTATATTATCCACCATCAATTTTGCTTACTAAAATATATTGTTCCTTTTTAAGTTAATCTTTTAGTGGTCATAAAACTACATCTGTTCTATCCATGTTAACACAATAGAAGGACTACTGTCTTTATTTTTACTTGGTCTAGATTTATGGCATTGTTTTACCTCAGTAGCACTCTTCTCCCATGATATAAACTTGCCCATGGGCGAATTTGAATGACACATTGCCTGACGCAGAAATTAGATTTGGCATTGATACAAGACGTCTCAACAGTGATCTGCGTGTGGCCACGTGCACAAAACCTGTCTCCTTAACATACCAATGACTTCAGCTGAGAATTTACAGCTATGGAGATATTGGCAGTCCTTGTTGTGTTTGTAACATTAATTATAAATTTGAACAATGAACCTTGGATAAACTACTGATCCATAAAAGAAGCTTGCACCTAGTAGCTAAAGAATACAGTAAAAGCCATCTTTAAATATGAATTAAGTTTTACTACAATTTTATAGGTGTTTATCTTATTTACTGCCTTTATTACAACCTATACAATTGTCAGAGTTGGTTTATATATGGTGTGTATAGTAGTGACTAGACATATCTCTAGCCATAAAAAGAGACTTCAAACTGTTAATGATTAGACCTCAAACAAAAGCATTACAGCTGCCACAACCTTTTAGTCTTATTACGATCAGCATGTTTCCACTGTTGGCATAACATGATGTGTCTTAAAGAAACACTAATAAAAGCTAAACTGAAAAATAATTTAACGTTTGCATTTTTGCATACATTTGACTAAATATACCAGTAGTACCTAATCCATACTATTCTTTCTGAGACTGCAACAGACTCAAAGAGCCTCATCAGCCACTTTATACTGTAGTTAATCTTTATTCCATTTTATTTCTCAATACAACCAAAAATAGAGACATATCTATGTCAAAAAGAGTGGATTTCTCATGATTTTAGTATGTAGGCTCAGTTAGTTACAAGCATAATCACATGGGACTAGATATGTACATGAAGGATCAAAACTGTTCATAAATGCCTTAACTTCATTACACAGAAATGAAAGCTTGAAAAGTTCTGGTCAGCTCTTGTTGCCATGCTTTCTAGCCCTTTAAAACAATAGCTGAGGTACTGCTCGTGTCCCAGAACGACTCCTAATATGGCTGAGTGTATGTCTTTAGAGCGACCTGCTTCATGTTGCAATGTGATCCTCTCACTCAGCTCCAAAACCAACATTACGCCATGACTGGAGAATTAGGAGGAACTCTCCCCTGGATTGCACTACAAGTTCTGCCTGCCTTATCTGTGTCGTAAACCCCCTATTAAAATACTCAATCATTTCACACCCCTCCCATAGACTGTATAACTGTATGACCACAGCAGTTTCATGATTTATTGTGTATCATTTAATCCAGAAAATTAATACTCCTGAAGTAATAATGTAGAATATTGATATATTGGAGATGTGGTAATGTAGCCATATCCTGATGCTGTATGCTGCAGGTGCAAATTGGGATTTTAACCAACACAGTGATATTGGTAAAATGGTAGCATTAGTTTCAGTAATGTTCCATGGTGTACATTTTCAAATGTATATTTTTTTTCTATAATTTTGTGAGTGTTCAGAAGTGAAATAATACTTTTATAATATTTTGAATTGGCAGTATTTATTTGAGTACTTATTTTACTTCTTCCACCTCTGTCTGCACATGGCATCTCCAGCTCAGCCAAACCCCACCTCTCAGCAGTATTAAAGTGATTCACTGGTTGCCTGCTGTGAAGTCTATTGAAAATGTTAAATTGTTCTGCAGCATTTATACAGTGACTCCCTTTGTTCAGTTACTCTGTGTTTGCATTGCTCCACTGGCCCTGTCCATGTCCCTGATACAGTGACTCAGTTCAAATGGGTCTGGCTTTCACCTTTGGGAAAAGATTAGTCAGAGAAACCTGTTTACTTAAGTCAGTTTTGCAAAAATAAAATATCTAAGAATATTCTCATCTGTGTATGGACCAGAGTATGTTTTGAATGCAAATGCTTCTTTTTAGAGCACACTAACATGCAATATGTAACTTTTCTGGTGGAGGCGCCACCACCTGCTTGTCTCCATAGAGATGTAGTTGTTTTGTTTGGAATGAGTCACAGTATGGCATCAAATTTGTCTAAGGCAGGGTCAGATCTGTGAAGAGGCGACCCCACTCATGGTAAGAATGTATGTTTTTCATGGTATTTTTAAGCAATAAAAACACCTATTATAGTATAAATGCAAGATAGCATTTAATGCCATACTTAGGAATATTTTAGGCAAGGCAATACATCTCCATGAAGACAAGCAGGACCTTCCACCAGAAATGTTACATGTTAAAGGTACCTTTTTCGTGGGCCAATCATAATTGCACCATAGGCTGTATCCTCCCTTTCCATTCTAAAAAAAATTAAATAAAAAAAAAAAAATGCTTAAATGCTTTTAATTGTAAGTACGAGCCTCTGTAATTACTTTTTCTCTTTTCCCTCTGGGGTTGTTAACCATTGCCCACTTTGTAATGACATCATCAGTCTTATGTAACACATTTCCTGTCATTCTCATAGTGTGCTGTCGTCTTGGCAACTACACAAATACTGGAATGTGTTGGAAAATTCTACATGATATTTTTTTTACACCAACAAATTCCAGGACACCACAATGATTAGTTTTCACCAGCAGTTTTTATTTCAGTCACACAGCACTGCACTTCATTTGGACATTTGTTTTGAAAAGTTTGACAAAAGTTAAACATTTTTCAGACTTTTGGAGCTCTGTTTTTTCATCCCATGTAACAGCTTTCATACTGGGGGAGGGTGCATATCTGGATCGTAAATGTGAGTGTGTCTGAGTACAGCCTGTCCTGCCAGCTGGATGTTTTAACTGGAACTGCGCACGGTTGTGGTGGTAACTGTGGTCGTGCCTCCTGTTAAAAAATAAAAAGTCATTTGCATTTATTGCCATCACGCTACATTCATTGATGTGTGATGTTTAATACCTCCAATAGGTCTGGATTCCTCTCCCTCCAATAGTTTCCTGTAGGTTGCGATCTCCTGTTCCAACCTCGTTTTGATGTCCAGTAGCATCCTGTAGTCCTGCCCCTGTTGCTCGATGCTTGCGCGGACGTTGGCGAGTTCTCCTTCCAGCATGTTGATAGTATTCTGGAAGCCAGCTAGCATGGCGCTATACCGGGCCTCTGTCTCTGCTAACGTGTTCTCCAATGCTCCTTTCTGTCATGACAAATAGACAAGACTGATTGTTCACAGATTCAGACAAGTTAAACATCTTTCTGTGTATTGTGCACTACAGACTGTCCTTGTACCACACCCTGGATTTTGTCTGTGTGAAAATAGATTTCCTGAAGGCTTACAGTGTCTTTACTTTTGTTAGAAATTGATTTACTAACTGCAATATGCCATATTCAGCGTTTGCTTAGATGTACTCAGTCATAATTTAAGTCAAATAAGGCATGGTTACTTGAATATAAAGTGGGCTAGTATAATTCAACAAAGCTTTATGAACAATGCAGGTGCAGGTGGGCAAAAGTATTGGTTTTGTGGTAACTTTTTGATTCCACTATTGATGACACTGTTTCTTTAAGAGAGAAATGAGTTTGATTACATTTTTAGGTTACTGGATCCCCTTAACACCCTCTGTCACTCGGACATTTGTTTATGTGTATGAAAAATAAAGTGATATATTGAGAAAGACCTGAATTTTAGATAAAGGAGCTGTTTTTGGCAGGCAGTGTTGAACGATGAAATCCATCTGGCTCACATAATCTGAAGGAGATTTAAAACTGCAGTCCCACATTCCTTTACTCCTCCAGCTCTTTTGTGTCTGCCTGAATTTGAGCAGATGTGTGTGAAACACTTCTTTTTCTTTCACTCTCACCTCCTCACTTACAAAACCGCCCTGTTGCCCTTTTTTTTAAACCCAGGACTATTTCTGTGTTTCTCGTGACATGACAACTACTCTGGGGTTTGCTCATATAAGGTAATATCAGTGAGTAGAGGGCTGGTGGGTTGGATCTCTCACCATGCTCAGTTGCGACTGTAGCTCAATCTCTAGCCCCTGCAATGTACGCCGTAGGTCACTGATCTCTGTCTTTGTTGTCTGGATTGTTTCTGTGCTGATGGCCACTTCCTTTGAGAGAGCTGCTGACTGTGGAACAAAAACTCAGTGAATAACGGGATTATGTTTAATTACATGTTTAAAGTTGAGCAGGATGCACTCATAAAACCACTTTTGTTTGCTTATGAGAACATAATATCTTCACCTTTTCATTAAACCAGGCCTCTTGGTCACGGCGATGTCTGTCTGTGATGGCTTCGTACTGGGCGCGGATCTCATCCAGAATTTTGGTGAGGTCTGGCTGGGGCACAGCATCCACCTCCACATTGACTGTGCCAGTGAGCTGAGAACGAAGGGCTGCCAATTCCTACAAAACCACAACCACAAATTAGCCAATAGAATCTTCACTATCAGAGTCTATAATAGACTCAAGAGCAGTATGATCTTAACCTCTTCGTGGTTCTTCTTGAGGTACGCCAGCTCATCCTGCAAGCCTTCAATCTGCATCTCTAGATCTGCCTTTGTGAGGGTGGTCTGGTCCAGGAGACGGCGCAGGTTGGCGATGTCAGCCTCAACTGACTGGCGCATCATCAGTTCGTGCTCGTATCTGTTGACAACAGCTGTGGTTAATTCAAAGTACTGCATTACAAGGGAAAATGTAGTATCCTATTGGGCTATTGCATTGATCTGTCATACTTGGTCCTGAAGTCATCTGCTGCCAATTTTGAGTTGTCAATCTGGAGGAGGACGTTAGCATTTGCAATGGTTGCTGCAGCAATCTGAAACCACAAAGCCACAAGTCCTATTAAGTTACACTCATTAGGTGAACCTGTTCCTCACCGGTTTTGAATGCAGGAGAGAAGCTCAACTCCACACCAAGCACCTTAATCATTACATAACTTTGTCCTCTAAGAACTGAATGCTTCGAATGTGTCTGCACTCACTCTGCTAATAATTAACAACTTTGTAAACATTTCACATGGCAGAGACAGAGCCTGTGCACACAGTTTACCTTGTCTTTCAGGTCATTGATGGTGGCCCAGTAGTTGCTGTAGTCCCTCGTCGCTGCTGGTCCCTTATTCTCGTAGTACTCTCTGATCTGTTTCTCCAGCTTGGCATTGGCCCCCTCCAAAGACCTGACCTTCTCCAGGTAGCTGGCCAGACGGTCGTTCAGGTTCTGCATAGTGGCCTTTTCGTTCATTTGGATGTTGCGCTGATCCAGGGCGTTGGACAGGTCGAAACCCCCACCCATACCAAAACCTGCACCCATACCACCGCCATACCCAGAGGACACAGTGTACACCTGGCTGGAAGAGATGCGGGGAGCTGCCCTGTATCCTGAGATACTGTGGGCCTTCACGGCTGGGCCAGAGGAGGTGTAGGACATGCGGCTGGAAGAACGCATCACAGGGCCGCTGCTGCCGATCATGCTTTGGCTGTACATCCTTGGCAGAGAGATGGATCAAACAAGAGACAAGAAGAGGACCAGCTGCAGACTGTGGCAGGACTGTGGAGGTGGATAGAGGGAGGCAGGCTGCTCATATAGTGCTGGTCCAGGGCAGGGCCTGGGCAGGCTGGGAGGAGGAGGTTGGACAAGGGAAGGAAAAGAGGAGGTTTCCTTTGCTTCAGGCTTGGCCGAAGCACACCATGTTTTTTTAAGGACCAGAGTCTATCTTTCCATTTTGTCAAAAATCTGTGTTGTATATAGTGTGAGTCAGCGGTGCTATCTTGTTACCTGTATTCAACTTTTCTAAAAGACATCTGTTACTCTGCATAATGCTGAAGTTGAATGTTGTTTTGATTATAATGAAGATATTTGACCCCTATCTGAAAAAGTAGCAGAGATTTGTGAAGTTGTGATACGGATATCAGTGTTTATAGGTATACTTTAAATAGCTTACATAGTAAATGTAGCATAAATTGCATAAGGGTAGTTCTTTAAAAAAATGTTTCAACTAACTTTTATTCTGTTATCTTTGTTATTTTGTGTCTTTGGTTGAAATAGTTCTCATAAACTCACTAGCAGTTATTATGATCAGACTAGAGCAAACAAAGTAGGTGTGTACCTTGTGTCCCTCCCTAAGTCAACACTGTCTCAAGTATAATAATTTGACCGTAAACCTGAGAGACATCAGATCAGTTTTTGCGAGTAATGAAAAGTTTCTTGTAGTCTTGATTGTTCAAGACTACATGATATTGTTCCTTGTTTTCAGCCACAGCCATTTTAAACAGTGTGTCAGGCCTATTGTTCACCATATCACACACAACATCCCCTTGGTTGCTTATATCCTGTCTGCAGAGTATGAAGGATGAGGAAAATGCCTTCAGGGAGTGTGTGTGTGCATGTGCGCCTGTGTCATGCCTGTGTGTGTATGTGTATGGTTTCCTTGTGTGCTGGTTTGTGCCGCTCTGCTCTGGTCTTTGCAGAATAACATCTGGAGTGATCTTAGAGGGGGGCAGAGAGGGGGGCATGGGGTCAAACCTCAGTCAGTGGGAGAAGTGACTCATCCCTCTTATGAGATGTGTATGTTTTTCAGTGCATTACATAAGCCATTCAAACAGCAGATTCCTATGCTGATATTTTACACATTTTACACATGTCTAGTATCTTACAGTGAGCATCTGCGAGTTTTGAAAATATTGAGTTGAATAGTATGCACACATCTTTACTCTGCAAAATTTCAACTGAAAAAAACAATGACAGTGTGATGTAGAATAGTCATTGTAGTAGTCCAAGAGTTGAAGAAAAGAAGCAAAACACTGGAGTCCTAACACAGAAGTTTATTTACCATCAGTACGGACCCAGCACCCGAAGACATGAAATCTCTAGACATTGTGATAGCGTTGCCCATTCCAGTCTAGTGCAACCTAGTCTGAATATGCTTCCAAGGTAGGAAGTATTATAGCTCTGATAACATTGGCCAAGATAACAAAGACTGAGCTGGCAGTAAGAGTCCTAAATACAGCACAGAAATGGAATTTCTCTAATAGTCTAATAATCAGTGATTTACCGCCAGAGCCTATGGGTCATTCCACGCCAAATCTACGAATGCCCCCACTCGACCATCTCAGATTTGACTGAAAAAATTCTAGGAGGTTCACACACTTTCCAATGGGAAAAGTCCCACATTTTAGCTCCCAACTCCTTATAGTTTTGTCATTAAAAATATTTTGTCAGCTACCCCCTGACCTGCTTTTTCCCATTTTTTTTTGTTTTTGTTTGTTTGTTTTTTTCAGAGAAGCCACTTTCAGATTATTTAATGTATCTAAAAACCTATTTAGGGTAGGTCCTTCAAATTTTCAAGGGTTAAAATTTGTGAAATGTACTTCTAGAATATGGACTTTTACAGATATGCTTTTGATTTATCACATATTTCTGGGGCTTGAATTTGCTTGAAAATTCTACCCTTCAAATATGAGGGCATCTTTGAAGAACTGTGGAAAGTGCAATTTCAAAGACAGAGGTTTAATATTGAACATGCACCTTGCCACACATGCTATGTACTTTGTATTTTGTAAAAATGACTCTCTGTGATGAACAGAATGGTTTAGAAGATGTTAAGTGTTAAAAATGGAAAAAATAATTTTGTTGCCATCTTTACCATGTTATACCAAAAAAATGATAGCACCCACCAACACCAAATGGACTGTTTTAGAAAGACTAGATGTCTGTTTTTAACATATCCAAAATGTGTGATGGTGTTCTGCCTTATTTTTGTAAAATTAATTTTTGAATATCTGGTGTCCGCATTGATGTACGTCATTCATGGACTATGAAGGCACTTTCAGAAATGCTTTATTTGATTACTTAACTATAGTAAATTATCTCAACACTTTGAAGAAACCTTCGGATGTTTTGGTGTAACACTCGTGAATTGTATATTGGCATTGTAGTGCTAGGAACATCTATTTTAGAAATGATGTGTTGTAAAGGTACCCAGCACAAGTCTTCACTCCTAGGCCAGAAGAAACTTTTTGCTGGGCCACATGGATGCATGAATTGTATGTGAACATCTTGCTAGGCTTCAGGTGTCTCTCTGATGCTTGTTTGCTCTCACAGCAAACAACATGTACACATTACTGATAACTGACTTTAACCCACCACATTGTATTATTATTTTTTTTCAGTTATTTAGATAATAAAAATATATAACCCCTCACCTCCCTCTTTTTGTTGCATCTTTGTGCAGGATCATAACAGACACGATTCTATTTCTATATCTAAAGACTACATACAAGTTAGAATTCAAGTATAGTTAATTAAGAATGAAATAAAGCATTTTGTTGAGTTTAACCTGTGTATTATGAAATCAGAGTGTTTTCTTAGCTTCTGAAAGTGCCTTCATAGTCCATGAATGCTCTGCATGTATGCAAACACCATATTTTCCAAAATTCATCTTGCAAAAATAGAGAGTCAGTTTTAAAGAACAATGTACACAGCGTGTGTGGGAAGGTGTATGTTCAGTATCAAACCTTTGTCTTTGAAATTGCACTTTCCACAGTCCTTCAAAAATGCCCTCATATTTTGAAGAGTAGAATTTTTAATCAAATTCAAGCCCCCAGAAATCTGTGATAAACCAAAAAGCACACGTGTAAAAGTCCATATTCTACAAGTACATTTCACAAATTTTAACCCTTGAAAATTTGAAGGACCTACCTTAGATAACTTTTTAGATACAGTAATCTGAAAGTGGCTCCTCAGAAAACTCTGTTCAAAGCAGGTCAGGGGGTAGTTGACAAAATATTTTTTAATGACAAAACTATAAAGAGTTGGGAGCTAAAAATTGGGACTTTTCCTATTGGAAAGTGTATGAACCTCCTAGAACGTTTTCAGTCTTATGCATTAAAACATAATTAAAGTTGCATGTAACCTTTCAAGTGCTGGCTCTGCCATCTGCATGTCTCCAAGGTATTTATCAATGAAAACACTGCAACTGAAAATGCAAGATAGGTAAGTTTCAGGACAAAAAATAAAAACATGTGGAGGACCCTCCATCAGAAAAGTTAGTTAGTACACCCTTAACGGTGTATTGCTAACTTTTTTTAATGCTAATGCAACCTTGAGCAAGGATTAAGATATGCATATTTGTCAAGCAGTAGGATGATTCTTGAGGGAAACTAACCTTTAGTGCTTACATTTAATTCACTGTTCACTGCTCTGGGTGATTAAAAGTTTTTTCCACATAGGGCATATTTGAAAATGCTCACAACTGAACACAAAATTAAAGTGATTTCCAAGTGGGGTGGTCATCTTTTTTTTTTTTTATAACTTTGTACGTCTATTACCAAACCAGTTGATTCTCATCTTGAGTATTTGCATTTGCACACTTGTGCCCATAGGGACATTTCCCACATTTGACCCATCCTTCAACCAGTGCCATGGGTCAAACTCCAGCAATGGGGTAGTGGAGTGCAGCACCCAGGGCCATGAGTCAGGATTTTCGATTGATAACGCATGTTTTCATTTGTTGTGGGAAAGCCGAACAACCAAGACACATTGGTCCCTCTGTGTCCTCAGAATGGTAAAGAGCCAAAGCATTTTTACTGTTAAAAGACTGCAGATCTGTTAAGAACTGGTAAATATTTGCATTGTTTGATTTGTTTTGCCTAAAAAGCAGGCATTTCAATAGCAGTCATGCCAAGGCAAGTTTATTTGTACAGGCCTCGGTGCTTAAACTTGTCAACACCCACACTGTAATAACAAGGATAAGAAATGGTTCTCCAAAGTTTGAGGAAAAGAACAAAAAAGTCTACAGACAGGAGAAGAAAAGTATAGTGAGCTCTGGGAGGTGCAGCTGAAAGTGAGTGGGAGGACAGAAGGGAGAAAACTTGCCCATGATTGCTGCCCATGACCTGAACTGATTCACTCAGTGAATATATGAATAAGAACTATCTTAGTATGCTGTTTTTAAGACTACTGCTTGTATTTATTTTTGATTCCACAGTAGCTTCCATTAAGAAGTTGCCATAGTCTTCCTGGAGTCCATAAGAACAAAATAAAATCATTTCACAATGAATCACCAACCTACATAAAAACAAAGAGTTGAATGCAAATTCATGCAGGATCATATGGTACAGTTCATAACTGTCAATAATTCATTGTTCTTCCTAACAGCTGATTCCATGCAGCAGAATACATAACTTTTCTCTTTATGTAATTTGATTTTGAAAAAGGAACAACTAAATCACTAGAGCTCACCTGCATGCCAACATGATGCCTTTAATTTATTGCAGGGTTTTATTTTTGTATTTTCTATGAGGTGTAGACGCTGGTATACTTTGAAGAAGGGCAGGGACAGGAAATACCTTTTAGATTGGGTCAACTCTGATACTGGGTTTGTGCATAAATGACGGGTGACAAATGATCAACAAGTCCCTGCAAAGACAGTGAGTTCATGTCTAAGCTGTAGCTCAGCCCAGCCTTGTGACTAGTGCAAACTGGTCGTCAAGATAAACACAGACAATAATGACAGTTGTGTAGCCTATATTTTTTTCATGATGCAATCCATTCTTTCTTTAAGGCCCATT